CCCGAGTTTAATTGGCCAGTTACCAATGGCGTGGACAGGCATACCTCTTCTGCGCTCTGTCCACGTCCTTGATATTTGGTAAGCAACATGTGTGGATGTTGTTGGTTCGGCGTGTAGCTAAAGTAACAATCCTATCTGATAGAACAGAGGAGTTTCTGCTATCTCCAAGTGTGTGAACCGATTCTCACCGGCCTTATTATCTTCAAGGACATAAGCTCAGTGCAAAATCTAAACTCAGAATACATAATAACTTGAAACCTAATTAATTATAAGAACCATAGTCTTCATGGAAAAATACAGACTCAGAATACCTATTGGTTTGAAACATACTTAATTATAACATTCCTTTTTTGGTGAGCAGATGTATCCTGCGTATCCTGTGTTTGCCAAGCTGTGTCCGTTCCTGTTACCCAAGATGGAATTGGGTGTTGTACGGAAGGATGAAACTCATCATGACTCAGCAGTAGAAAGATTGAAACATCCGGTGGATGTATGTGTAATAATGAGTGTGTGTTAATCAGTGTGGGAGAGACGGCCGTAATACCATATAAAAGAAGGAGACAGGGAGATATTTGTCGGAGATCGCTTCGGACGGAGTACAGGGCATCCGGAAAGTATTCACAGTGTTTCACTTTTACCACGTTTTGTTATGTTACAGCCTTATTCCAAAATGGATTAAATTAATTTTTTCCCTCAAAATTCTACGCAAAATACACCATAAGGACAACTTGAAAAACGTTTTTGTGAGATTTTTGCAAATTTATTAAAAATCAAAAACTAAGAAATCATATAGTATTCACAGCCTTTGCCATGAAGCTCAAAATTGAGCTCAGGTGCATCCTGTTTCCACTGATCATCCTTGAGATGTCTCTACAGCCTAACTGGAGTCCATCTGTGGTAAATTCAGTTGATTGGACATGATTTGGAAAGGCAGACACCTGTCTATATAAGGTTGTAACAATTCACCTATTAATTCCAAGATGACAGTGTCACAATGCACTATATAAAGGAAGCGGGCGGATCTAGACTCAGCACATACACAAGCGCATCCCCACACACAAAACAGCAAAACAGCGACACGGCTGAAAAACAGTTCTTAAAGTTCGGCAATCAGTTCATGTACCGAACCACCAGGACTCTTCCTAGAGCTGGCCGGCCATCTAAACTGAGCGACTGGGGGAGAAGGGCCTTAGTCAGAGAGGTGACCAAGAACCCGATGGTCACTCTGTCAGAGCTCCAGCGTTCCTCTGTGGAGAGTAGAACCTTCCAGAAGGACAACCATCTGTGCAGCAATCCATTGTAGGGTTTTAGTGTGGTAGAAAATAAGATGTACTTATTTCCACACACTAAAGCAAGTGATTGCATTAATTACAATTATTAAAACCAACCTTTGAATTATTCGTCCAGCGATATAATCTCAGAGTCAGCA